AAGAAAGATATTACCTCACCTACCTTGTCTCTCTCATATCCTGGGACCAACACAGCTAGGGTAACACTGCATGCAACCACTGATTTATTTTAGGCATTTCTATTGAGCTCATCACCACTGATTCTTTGCACATTTACAGTGGTGTAAATCAGGAGTGATTCCACTGAAATCAACCGACTCATACCGGTGTAAAAATGGAGTAAGCACAAGGAGAATCAGGCTCCAGGATTTTTAACTTGTGAGTGTCCCTTTAACCTAAAAAGCAATGTGAGGTTGCAAACCTGAAGAGCTTATCATGTGCATTTCACTGATTTATGTTTATTTGCTTAACCCAGTTTAATCCTCCTCCCACGTTTAGTGTGTATGTTTGTGTGTAAGTAACCTGTGAGAGCCCAGAATACACAGTACTGAGCCATATCATTTTTTATCATACTGCCTGTGCTGTCTTCCTGCTTTCTAAATCTGTGCATCCGAGACGTGTTTGGTCTAGTATTTATTTCTGCTAAGGGGTTGGGGGGTGAGGAGAGATGTTAAGAATAGGAGGGACTTTCCCCCCCCCCTTGCTCTGCAAAATACTACCTAGAGTAAATGTATTTCCTTTGTTGAAGCAGATAAGTTATGACTTCTTAACATAAGTATTGACTATAATAGAATATAATCAACGAACCGCTGAACAAAAGTCATTTGTGTATAGTCATATACAGTGATATAGTCAAAGAATCCCATTGCTGCAAGCATTTTATACATAGCTGGAACTTTTCTGACTTCAGATAAAAGAGGTCTGCTTTTCACCAATAGAGGTCTGGTTCTTACTTAACTTTAAATACAGCTCTGTTTTCCTCATAGCAGAAAAACAGTTGCACTATGCCCCAAATAAAAAGTCAACAGAACTGATTATTTGAAAAACAACAGACTTATTATTTCACATATTTCCAAAGACCCAATCATGTAGCCTGCGAGTGTTCAGGCATGATACAATCAAATATTCAAAGGGTGGCATCTAACATTCACCTGTAAACTTTGTACATGCATCAGTTGCACTAGCAAGCCCTGAATTTGCTTGCACAGATGGAGAACTGCACATTAAAAGTGGTGCTTATGTGAGCAATTGACAGCTGTGCACTCACAAATGTAGGATTGCCTTGAGCTGCCTCATAAAAAGTTTTTTTTTGACCAAAAAGATCTTTCTGAAAGAAATGAAAATTCTTATAGAAAATTTTAGTTTCCTTCCAAGTTTTTTTGTTTGTTTGACAGAAACCAAATTATTCTCACAATCCAGAATTTTTTTTTTTTTAAATGTTTCAATAAGTGTTTGGGGACTTGGGGTTTTTTTTGGGTGTGGGGGGGTGTGGAGTTCCTGGCTTCCCCCCTTCTCTAAAACAAAAACAAACAAAAAAAATGGAGAACAAAAAAAACCCTCAAAGACAAACATTTTATGAAAAACAAAACAAAAAATGATCAACATTTCAAAAAACAAATTAAAAAACATTTTTTCTTAAGTCACTTGGGTGCTTTGGAAAAAACCACCCTTAGATACGTAAATATGGATTTAGGAGTCTATCTTTAGGCTCCTTATTTTTGAAAAATTTGGCTTACATGCTTTAATCCAACACAAGGCCTACATTCCACTCAGTGATGCATAGACCTTGTGATTATTCTTTGTACAAGAATGAATGTCACCAATACTAAGTATAATGAAGATTGCTGGGCCAAATTTATGCCTGATGCAAACTGGCAACGGGTTTAATCTGTGAGTGAATTTTGTTCTTTGCAGTTTTAAAACATAAAATGTATGGTAATGTATGGTAAATTTGCTGCTTCCCACAATTATTTTCATAATAGCAGAGTTACTAAGTGGTTTGCCATCCATGTTATTATACCTAAAATACAAGGTAGAAGAGAACCACAGGTTTTTTTAGCATAAGTGATTAAATCTCTACAAACAAGCACAAAGTTTATAACTGAACGGTGACAACAATCCTCTCCCATTTGAAACCCTGCTCTGCCTCTGCCTGGAAAGCACTCGTTAATTTTATTATGGCCTGAATTCTTTCCAAACCTTCATTTTTCGATAGCATAATGACTACTTTAATTTTAGGGTGCTTATTATATGTGTACATGTATATGCATAATGTGCAAAACTATTTTTTCCAAGGTTAATGTCAGCTTAGCAATTTTTATGTCTGACCTAGGCACAAGGGATACATTTACCAGTCAAATGGCATATGCCAGTCTCCTTGTCTGTTCAAAAAATCTGGGTTGTGTAAATCAAAATGCAGTTTAGTCAGAAACGTGACTGTATTAAAACAGTATTGGAAGTACTGGAGAAAGGGGAGTTTTATGCCTACGGCATTGGGCTTGGAATCAAAACAGCTGGGTTCAATTTCTGGCTCTGCCACAGATTTTCTTTTGACCTTGGACAAGTTGCTTAATCGCTCTGAGCCTGATCCACAGTCCATTGAAGTCAGTGGGTGTCTTTCCATTGACTTTGTTCTCCATCTGTAAAACAGGGATAATATTTCCTTTCTCTGAGCCATTGTCTGTCTTGTCTATTTAGACTGTAGGCTCAGGGACTGTCTCTTACTAGGTGTACTACACTTAGCAGATGGAGGCCTGAAGGCATTACTGGAATATAAATAATAATTCTTACTTAACATATGTTCTCCTTGTGTATCCCCAAGTCGTAGCTTACAGTAATTGTCAAACATGTTTTTCACTCCCATAAGGAATACAGAGACAATGCATCTGCAGAAGCTCGATCTTTCAGGTAGATTCAGTTCAACAAAACCCTTAAAAACCTCTAATATTCTATTTTAAAATGAAACCCCTTTTCAAGAATCCTGTCCTAATACAAAACAAAACACCAAGGCTGAAAATCTCACTCTCCGGACATCAATGGCAGTTTTATCGATGAGGCCAGCATTTCACCCCATATTCTGCTCTCCTGTACGCTAACACTACCCCCATTGAAATCAATGCACTGATGTGAACTACATTTGCCTCAAAAACTTTTTTAAAAAATCCGGGCAATTTTGTGTGCCTCATTTACCAATGTGGATAAAAATCCATTCTGTGCCCGTTAAGGGCCTCATCCTGCCCACACGAATCTCAATGTCACAACTCCCATAAGAGCATGATTTGGCTCCACGTCAGGCAGTTATACCAGACACCCAATTACTGGGGAAATTGAAAGCACTCACAATGCATGTGGAGCAACTCCCTGACACCAACAGCCTCTGGCAGCACAAGCGGTTCCTCTAGACCTCCACAGGGCTTTCTCTGAGGCACACACCAACCCCCGAGTCCTCAGAGTCTTCCCTGCAGTGTACAGCCCCTTATCCATTGGACACTCACAGAATTACCAGGCCCACTGTTCCCAAAGGAACAGAAAACACCGGCTTGTAAGATTCAGCTCAGGACCCGCACTTAGATTAACGCCACAGCACTGAGCTATATTTATAGTGAAACAAGGTTAAGTTTGTTGTCAAAGAACAGAGATTCAAGGGATAGTGAGTAAGAATATTGGAAACAAATGGTTACATATAAAACAAAATCATAACACGCTTTCTAGAGACTAAACTTAACTAACAGGTTAAGCTTCTTTAGACAGGAGGTTGTCTCACCCAAAGTTCTCTCCAGCCAAGCCTGGTTGAGACCCCTTCTTTCATGAAGCAAACACACTCTATTTACTTCCTAGGTGAAGGATGGCAGGATGCCTGTTTTGTCCCCCCAAATATAACAGAGCAAACCTTTGATGTGCACCTCAAGATAGGGTCCCCCCCTGCAAGTTGCTTCTTCCAGTTACCTTTCTCTCTCTCGGACGTATTTACAATCCTTCAGTAGGATCTGGTTTAGACTGGTGAGAGGAGACCCATTTGAACCATGCAGTACTTAACTTACTTGCAAACAGCCAGATAGCTAAATAATTCTTGTCTGACAGAAAAGCAGTTTTTCACTTTTGCTGGTGACCAGTCTCTCGTCGCAGATCTAAAGAACATAATGTTCATTATATGTACATAACTCCTTGAAAAACATCCATCCATACGTTTTGCTATGATGACATTGGCTTTTATTTGAGGCCTCACATGGCACTTGTTGGTGAACTATAATGTACATACAGGAGATCCCTGTAATCTGTATGCATCCCCTTGGCTTCAAGAGGTTATTGGGTTACACACAGATTTCATCATGTGCTCTTGATCATACAGATCATCATGCACACACGTACCTCCTTATCGTCACTTCATCCTTCCAACTCACCCCACCTTCTTTGTCTGTTGCTTGCACCAGTTGCATCCTGTCATATAGATTATGAGTTGTCCATATGAGCTTGCTGGTTGCTTGCACTAAAATAAAGTTATACAGTGAAACTATTTTTTGCATATCATCTTTCATACAAACTTTATTCCAAAATTATGTAGAAAGTTAGACATAACAGCAGAGGACATTATGAGGTATAAATAAGGAAAAGGAGGGGTGTTTTCAGAGCATTTTTGAAAATAAACAGGGAGACAATGAAGGAGGCAGAGATGCCGCAGGAAGGATCACATCACTAGCACTCAGAAAGTGGTTATTAAGGGGAAGATTAAAAGATAACTCAGCAGGATTAAGAATGTCAGAAATTGACCTTTCATTTACAAGCTTGGATAGTTCACAGAAAAATATTGATAAAAAAGTGTCTCATAATCATAATGTCAGGGAATAATGTGGTGTGTGTGTGTGTGTATCTTCAAGAAAAAATATACTTAACTTGTATTTCACATAGGTCTTTCTATAATGGAGATTTTAATTAACTGGAAAGTAGCCTAAAAATTTCAAGAACAAAAGGGCAAGTAAATACATCTCAGATTCTATTATGGGAGATTAGTGGGGTTTAGTTTAAGACTTTGTGAAGACATACTTAAGTTACTGTGTTACAATTGGTTGTTTGGAAGCTTGAACAGAGTTTAAATTACTTCACAGTATCAGGTTAGGCTCATATGCCTAGGTGCTGATGCACAAAGAACATAAATGCTATAATATTAGCAGATTCTTTTTCAGAAGTTCTTTAGAAAATATCCCTAAAAAGTGTTACTTTCTGCTAGATCCTTTACCGCATTGCTCCAACAAGGTATGTGGGTAGCTTTAAAAGAGGTTTTCTGGTAAAACTCAGGTTGAATTTTGATTTCATGAAATATAAATGCCAAGAAATGTATCTAGGATGTTTTGTTTAAAACTCGGTTAAGCTTATAGAGTGTTATTTGTATATGTGTATGATATTGCCACTGGAGAAAGGAGTTCTTTTTGGTGACTACAATCCCTTTGCTCATTCATCAGACATATAGGGTTAAGCTATGCAACCTGCACAATGCCCTAATGCATGGTGAAGCCACACCACAGTGGGAGGAGCACTGGCAGATTGTACATCAGATTGCACAGTCTTTCCTGGGAGCAGTCTGCATCACCCAAGAGGATGGCTCTGTGCATGGGGAGAGGGCAGCCATGACCCACCCCCCCCTGCTTAATTTGCTTCCCGGAGGGAGCAGGTGATTGACCCCTTGCAGGTGATTGCCCCCCCCCCCCCTGTGTACTGGCATAAGGGCTGATCACAGTCTGGTCCACAATGGGGAGTATTTTTAATGATGTACTTTTCACTAACTTCTGCAAGAGTTGAAAACACTAAAGGCTCAGCAGTTGCTGGCTATGGACTCTTCCATTTTTCGCCTCACCTCAGCACCCGCACAGATTTAGAGCAGGAAAACGCTGGGTTCGGTGGGCTTGTATTACTTTAGGCTTTAGCCACATCACCTGATGCTGTGGCTCTCCGTTCAGCACCTGGACATCCAGTACAAGGGACACAAATTTTAGAAATTATTTGAGCTGGATGACCCTGGGTGCAAAAAACCTCAGACGTGCTTGATTTTCCTAAGTTACACCCCTGCTCCATACAAACCACTGATACAGGTCCTTTGATGCTTGAAGTGAGAATCCGACCCAGAAGTAATTACATTTCCAACTCAAATATTCTGAGTTGGGTTTCTTCCAGAAGGTGTTCGGATCCTGCTTTCTTTGGGCTGGTTCAGTTCTCCTCTAGATGCTCTCAGCACCCCTTTCATAAATTCCTCAACAATACTGATAAGAGAGGGCCAGCTTGATTGGCACCTACAGTAGGACATTAACATCATCCTCACTCAGTGGCAACCCACAGAGCCATAATGGCTTTTACCAAGTAGAGGAGGACATTCGCTCAACCCTGGTAATCTCTTAGACAGCCAGGCCAAGACCATCTGATATATAGGTTGTTGGTTTAGCTCTTTTGTTAGAGCAAGGAGTACTTTTTTCAGCCACATAAGGAAAGTTTCTCTCCCTCTTGAATTGGGCAGTAATACCTGTGAGGGGAGGAGAGCCCATTATTATGAGTTTTCCACCTCTTTGTGCTTTTCCACAACTTGGACCCTGTGTTAATGGGAAAATATATAACATGGTTTGGCCCATTTCAGTGCTGAATCACTTGGCCAGCCACAAAACCAAGATTGGCAAACTGATGCGGCGTTTTTGTTCTCAGGTGGCACAAAAGGCCTGAGACCTTGTCTTGACAATTGAAGCCTACATTTGTATACTCAGTATTGTATCCTTAGAGAACAAAATCAGTTGACTATATAGTATTACAGTAGTAGATGCCAGATGCTCCCACTGCAAATAAACCTGTTGACGACTGACAATATACATTCAATCGGCAGACTGGCTCTCCTTCTGAGATTGTAAAACTCATGTGAGATTAACATCCTGTAAACGTCAAAGGTAAGAAAGGTCCCACAGATCCCAGACGTTGCAGTTAAAGAGGAGACCTTTTGGAATTATACACATCATAAGGAGGCTGGTGCTTCCCAAAGATATTTTTTTAAATGCATTTTCTTGTCAAAAGGCTTAATAAGACTAGCACATGAGAAACAAAGAGGATTTGCATGAGACGTCTTGTAAACAGCCTGCTACTTGCCAAACAGAGCTCTCGTACTAATACTACTAATGCCTAACAAAGAAAAGAAATAACAGATTAGCAGTCCTCACATGCAGAGTCCATTTTTAACTACACTTTGGCTCCACCTATGAATTATGTGGTGGATGGGGCTCTGTAGCTGTGATGCCTTGTTTTGTGTGGACTGCACCTTTAAATTTCTAGGAATTTTGTCTGTGTGTAGAGACAACAGCCATTTGGATCTCAGCCTCCCTGCAGCCTCTTCAAATCTCTCTCTCTCTCTCTCTCTCTCTCTCTCTCTCTCTACACACACACACACACACACACACACACACACACACACACACACACACACACACACACACACTAC